CAAGTGGGATTACAATAGTCAATGAATAAAATGTACCTTGCATGGCTGACGATTTTACCGCTCAATTTTAGTTCTCGTCGATGAAATGCGCCACCGCGAGAGGCAAGAAAATATCGGTCGGTCGCATATCAACGAGTTAACAGTCATCACTTAAGTAACATATATCCACCTAACACATTAAAAAACCTTTATCCCAATACTTGTTTACAGTATATGATACTTGTTTAGACAGTGTAATCGCCATTATGAATTAATCATACATTAGAGTTACTACACCTAATAATAATAATAGGCCTAATAATAATAATAATAATAATAATAATAATAATAATAATAATAATAATAGTAATAATAATAATTGTGGCAAAGTTATTTATTAACAGAGTGTTAAAAAATACGATGACATTTTTTTTTCTCTTTCGTGGGAATTTAACCCACCTTTATTTCTATCTCTTTTGGTTACATTTTGATTTTTTTCTGTCATCAATGACAAAATATAAAAATTAAAACTCAAGTCCACAATGGATGACTGTAAATTTTTTCAACTCATCTTTTAATTAATTTCTAAAAAATACATTAATATATTGTTTTTCACATTCCATAATTGTTCGTACACATGCACATGTATATACTGTATAATACGCACATACCGGTACGTACACAACCATTACCATATAGGCCTATATACGTTTTTTTCTTGATTTCAACAATTCTTGTTTTTCTTTTATTTATAAAACAAAAAGGTAACATATCATACTGATATAATATCTAAAGCTAAACTAAAGCTAAAAGCGCTGATCATTGCTGAAACGTAACACAGCGCCGCGGTATAATGGTGGTGGACATTTAGATATGTCGTGACAGTACAAATACCAATAGGTTTTAAACGTGAGTGATAAAAACAATGCAAGGTTATTTAATCACATCCTACTTCTGACACCAAATCGTAATAATTCTTTGTCAAGGGTTGTCAAAATCTTGTATATTTCGGTTTGTTTTTTTAGTATTTTATCAAGAATAATTCGGTCACACATGCGAACTTCCTCAACATCCAGTCAAAAAAGGTTTCCTCTCATTTTACGAAATTAAAGATATATTTTTAAAAAAATATAATGTTAACGAAAACTCGATTGGGTCTTTAATTACACTTTTATGAAATTATCTTTTGGTAATTTGCGTTATTTTGTTTTTGCTAAGTACCGCGTTTGCATTGTGACTGAGTTAAATATGAATGAATGAAACAAGCCGCTTCCGTGATGCATTTATTTTTAAGATCTTCGTGGTATGAAATCTTGACGCATTGTTCAAAACCTTCTAGCGTAGGCTATATTTTCAAAAGCACTAAAGGTAATATTGTATTAATGGCATCTGCCACAGTCATATTCATAAGCAAAGGCATATCTTTGATTATAATATAGGCCTACGATAATTATTATTTATTCTTATGTTTATTATCATGATTACTACTAGGATTATTACGGTATTATTATATATTATAGTTCACCATCATCATATCATTATCATCGTCATCACCGCCAATATTATAGTAATCATCATTATCTGTATCTTTGTCATTGCCATTGCTATCATACCATCATTACCATTGCATTATTACCATTCATTATCATCGTTATTGTTATTATAATCGTGATCGGTGTCATTCTCGTTGTAATTGTTATTGTCATTATCATTATTATATTATCATTGTCAACATCATTAGTATTACAGTATTACTATCATCATTATTATTCTGAATAGCCAAAACCAAGTTAATCCTGTAAAAGGTATCGTGGTTGCAGTTCAACGCGAACGCGTGCGCTGACTATAATAACTCATGCTGCACACTCTGCTTACCGTCAACTCATGCGCGAATGCATACTTATTGCCTGTGAAAATAGTTTCGCAAAAAACCTTAACGTCTTAAAGAGAACTGCAATGGCTATCCACATCCTTAAAAACGCTTTCAAGGGGAATGGTATACAAGGCTCATATTGAGGACTAGGCTTAACCATTAATCCATAACATTAATATGTGCACACATGTTTCGACTTCCAGAAAAGTTGAACGTATGAAAACAGGAAGGAAAATGACTAAGGAAATCCTCAATACTCCCAGAAACTACGTACGGGCCTAGGCTATTATAGTCGAATGTAAATATGTTGAATAGCGCACGCCCTCTGTGACGTAACATTAAGCTGCACCAGGAAATAATGCCACTAAACAAAATCAAAACCAACGTAAAATATATTAAAACAGTCGCTACTGTTTGATTTTGCTTTAATGCTTTCGATATGAGACGTTGTATAAACGGATCGACTTTACTTGTTTCCGCCTTCAATGTGTATTTCAATTCTCGATGCGCTTTTCTATCTTATTATGACGGTTGCGTTGTATTCATTTCCATACCAATTACAACACTCAGAACTACAGAATTTTATAACTCATTTAGTCAATAGTAACTTCTTCTATTGCAAAGGGTAGCAGATGAAATAACAGAAGACATTATTATGAAATGTGGCATGTATAGGAAAAATGATAAAGGTAAGAAACGACTTTGCGTATATTATTTACAAGCCATGATAGATAGTTGTTTAAGCTTATTTTATACAGGTACGTGATTTGCAGAGACAGTTATCTTCGTGCATGCTCTGGATGCTTTAGGGGCCAACTAAAAACAGCAAACAGTATACGAAATACATTCACACTATATAATCCTATATATAAAATAGGCCTAGGCCTATATTCAAGTCAATTCAAACTTGTATTTCGGAAACATGTTCATAATGCCATTTCTATATGTATTTACCCTTCTTTGATGATTTATATATATATATATATATATATATATATATATATATATATTAATATTCATATTATATACAAATATATAATTTTAACAGACAACAGAAACGCCGATTAATTTGCTTTGCTGTACTTATACT